AATCACTTACCTTGGGTTAGCTAGGAATGAAAGTACGGATCCTTGTAGCAGTCCCTATACAACCCATTATAGTAGTTTCCATGTTCTTCTCCATCCCTCTCGGAACCCTAGAGCCTGAAGCCTATATAACCCATTAGAGTAGTTTCCATTGTCTTTTTCATCCATTCCAAACTCTAAACCCTAAACCCCTAAACCCTATGTAATCCCCATACTCCCTGCAGTTTCTATTTTCTTTTCCCTTTTTTCATTCCCAGCTAATAAAAGGCCGGATCAAAGACGGTCATGGTGTGGATAGCCATAGCCGCAACACGACCCGTACCAGAAGCAATCGCATATGAGCTCTAGTCTGAACTTCTTAAAGGGGATTATATAGGCGGTAATATAGGGGACTACTATAGAGGTTATTAAGGGAGATACTAGGAGTTTAGACAGTAGCTCATATGAGCTCTGGTCTGAACTTCTTAAAGCAGGTGATATAGCGGATTCTATAGGGGATTGCTATAGGGGTTATTAGGGGGGATACTAGGAGTTTAGACTATGGCTCATATCAGCAGTCATGACAACTGCTTTGCTGGCGTTCGGCGGGCAGTCGCTAAAATCAAATCCCATCCCCCTAATATGAAGCACCGCTCACCCTCAATATGAGATATCGCTACAGGCGCTAGAGCGGCCGACGGATTTTGTGGGGGTCCGTGTAATCTTGGGGGGGTGGGAGATTCATCAGTGTTTGGGGACACCGCTGCTGATCGATCATCGGCACGCATATGCAACATGTTATTGCCGGCGGGAAGAACATCCACAATGCGTCGGTGGTAGCAATGAAAGTAACCATGCACAGGTAGATGAAATCAAAGTGACGACAGTAAGGCATTTGTGGTGGATAGCTTATTGAATCTGTGGCGAGCCTTTAGGAAGGATCTTGGGCCGATGTTGGATACTGTCCATACCCGCCTGAGTATCTGAACTAGACTTGTATGGACTAGGACCTCCAAGACAAGCAGAGGTGCTTTTCCTGGGTTGCTGTTAAGGAACTTAATTTAAGTTACCATATTGGGGAAACCCGATTATTTACTATATATACCCATTATGGTAACTTAATTTAAGTTCCTTAACAGCAACCCAGTTTCTACAGGATCCTGATAGGCAGACTCCATATTGAAGCTGCTGCTTCCACTTAGTGAAGATGTTGCCACCCTCGGGCATGGGCCCAAAATTTCGGGTGGAAAGGGTCCCGCTGACCTCCACCCTGAAGCCCTCACCCTGTCGATTTAGGCTTGCGGGGATCTAAATTGTTTGTGAATAAGGCAGATCGAGGGTTTAGTTTACAGCAAACTAACTTTTTCAATGGCAGCTTCCAGACACAAGGGACCCCCTCGCCTAAACCCAACAGACTGCAAGCCTCTTCGCATGAATGAATTCTCCGCAGAAGTTGCAGCAGGTTGGAATCAGCTCGAGTAATACTACTAAATCCTAACGCTAGGGATCCAAGTAGGCCAATGTAGGTCCCTAAAACCCTAAACCCTAAACCTTAAACCCATAGATCTTACAGCCCAAAATAGGTACAAGTTGTAGACTTGGATCCCCAGGGCAATACGGTTCAAGAGTATTCCAGCTATCTGGGAATCATTGTACTGTTCCGCATAGCGCAATCGCATAAGAGCTTCTCAGGGCAAGCCCCATGCAAGCTTCAACGAGGGCATGGGTGCTGTTGCTTATCATTTCCATGCCTCTTATCCCAAAGGGCATCCTTGTAAGAACGCTTTAGGGTTTAGGGTTTATAGAATTTAGGGTGACGGGTTTGTTGTTTAGGGCCGGAACGTAAAAAGAGAAAGATTGTCCCGGTATATTCCTAATGCATAGTCTGATCCTCACTGCTTAGTTCCTTGTTACCCTGAACCCTGAGCCCAGTTTTACGTAGCCCTATGCAATACGTATATATATATATCCCTTATGTATCCCTACAACCCCGATACATCCCTATATGACCTGTCTCCCTCCTATCCCTCCTTTAAGCGGGCAATGGTTCTGTAGTTGCAGGCCCACCGCTGCAGTCCAGACAGGCCAGAGATGTCATTCGGGCTTGTAGGGTTTTGGGGTTCGTTGGGTTTAGGGTTCGAGGTTTAGCTTTTAGGTTTTAAGGTTTGCGTTTATGCTTAAGGTTTAGGTTTTAGGGTTNNTAGGGTTCAAGGTTTAGAGTTTAGTGTTTTTTTCGGGCATAATTCTTCAAATAACGGAGAATCAAACGGAAAGCAGCATGGCAAAGAAACTGGAAGATAAGATGGAAGTTGCTATGCAAAGTCTTGTCGGGTCTGTAAGTGCACTCACACAAAGCAAGTACATTCCTAAACCCTAAAGCAGAAACCGAACCCAAAAGACAACAGCAACCCCCCTGCGCCGTAGACTCCTAACACCGGGACTTGACACCTCCATGGTCCCAAGAATGAGGGTTGGAGCATGTATGTATGTATATTCTTTAAAATTTGGGTGATAAGCTTAATGGGGGGTAATGCAGGGGTTTTAGCGGGGGGGGGGGGGGGGNNGGGTATGGAAAGAAACATGGTAACTACTATGCAGGGTTTGGGTTGCATGTGTTAAAACAGTGGTTCAGCTGGTCCGTTAGCAAGGCCAATCCAAACGGCATGGGGGGCGCCTCCACTGCTCCGCTAAATTTGTGTACTGCCGTAAACATGCTAAAAGGCATCGTTTTGGGGTGCATCACATTAAGGTGAAGTAAGCTGAAGTAAGGAGTGTGATGAAATAGTCATTATGTACTGTAAGAGCTTATCAACTTAGCTTGATACGGGCTTGGGGGAGCTTCAGGGTTTGTAAAAACACTAGGAGCGCAAAATCTGGTCAATAACTAGGGTTCGTGGGTATGTTTTGCTATAGTTATCAAAGCATTTCAATGGGACAACATGGTGAGTAACCTAGTAGTACTATTACTACTACTATTACTATTTCTATTATTATTTTTACTGGGAGCTCTTCTGCGCCTCACAGGCCCCTGCAATCTTCGGGCCTAGGATGTCGGGTTTGCACTGGTTAGTGTGAACGAACATTGCCCAGCGGCCACACCCAATGCAGGCCTCCATAGCAGGAAAATAGTCTGTCTCAGTGGGCCCCAATTGATGTTCTTTTATAATTTTGTGGGGAAGGAGGATTTTGCAAGGATGGTGGGGTCTCAATGGAGTTTACGTAGAGTATGTGAGGTTCCATAAGGATCTTCCGGAGTGGGGCCTGTGCACTCGCTGAGTGCTGGGCCATTTCTGCATGGACCTGGATCCTCAGCACAACCCGCAGTTCAAGGGCTGCGCGAGTTGATTTCACCTACTTTGTTCCTGGGTCGTTTCGGATTCTGAGGTACGAAAACTATGGTCATGATTCAAGTTGAGATGCCCAACACCTTGCCTCCAACTACTTTGATCTTCAGTAGACCTTCACCTACAAGGTTCCTGAAAATAATTGTAAATTTCTGGTACCAACAATCCTAATATTTAGCTGGACTTATGATTTCTACTGGGGTTCCAAATCCCTTACTCAACTAACCCCTATATAATCCCAGTTTCCATTTCATTTTCCATTGTCTTTTCCATTTGATTCTCCACTATAGGGCCCTAAACCCTAAACCCCAAACCCTAAACCCTACGTGGAGGCTCATTGGGCACTTGCGTCAGTGCCGCATGAACATGGCTTGCTTCTCAGAACAGGGTCTCGGGCCGGAGGTAGCTACTACAGGCTTTAAGGTTTAGGGTTTACGGTTCAGGGTTTAAGGTTTAGGGTCGAGGTTTTCGGGCCCAAAGCCTTAGATAATTGCCAACATTGCGGGACTAGTCTCCCCAATAATGGAGAATCAAATGGAAACGACATTTGTGAATACCATGATATATGTTCCTGGGGTTATATGGGGCTTCATAGCGATCGTCACCAATTCTTTATATGATTACGTCATAGGCTCGAAATGACCTCAAAAGGACATCGCTTGATTTCTGCATCCATGCTTGCAGCTGGCTTTCATAGCATGTGATACTCGCGGTGATTTCCCTAAACCCTAAACCCTCAACAAAGCCGAAACCCTAAGCCTAAGGTCTTATTGGAGATGTTGAGCATGTGGAGCCTTGCCAGCCAAGCTAGGCAGTATTGAGCTGTGAGCATTGTTTAGAATCATTAGAGGCATGCTCTCTCACTGTGAACCCTGGTGCGGTGTTTGAAGACATGTGGATATTAGACCACATAAATTTCAGGTGTCGGGACTCTTTCTCGCTCTCTCTTTCTCCCTGTCTTTCTTCCTTTCCCTAAGGGTCCAAGTACCTGATAATCATATACTTACCCCAAAACCTGTACTATAATAACTACTACCCAAATCCCAAGTACCTAAATTATTGGGTACATTCACCCTAAACCCTAAACCCTAAACCCTATATACCCCCCTATATCCCTATATACCCCCTTATATATCCCCCCTTAAGGGGACCTAAGTATTGGGTACATGGACCCTTGGGGTTTCAGGTGCAGACTGCTGAGCAGTACGAATTTCTCCACCGTGCCCTCCCTTTGCTGGTAAAGCAAATGCGAGCCGGCAGGGATGCAAATGCCACCTGAGTCCGTGTCAGCATTGCCGTGCTTGTCATTCTATATCATACGATATTTATACTATATTATACGATATTATAGTATATTATACTATATCATACTGTATTATACTATGTTATATTATATTATACTATATTATACTATATTATACTGTATTATACTATATTATACTATATTATACTATATTTTACTATATCTTACCATATTTTACTATATTATGTTATATTATATTATACTATATTATACTATATTATACTATATTATACTATATTATACTATATTATACTATATTGTATTATACTATATTGTACTATATTTGTTAATGCAAGACCAACGTAGTGGCGGCAAAACTTTTATGTTCATCAGAGTGATGAGTCAACCTAATACCCAGTCAAAGCAAGGATACTGTGACAGTAGCAACATCAACTACAACAAACATGAGACATCAGTAGTCCCGGGGATATTCAGCTCATTGAGCCCAGCTTCTATGGAATCCACACGCAGCTTTTCGAAGAAAGCACGGAAGCGTTTTACTACTCTAAGCAGTCTATCAGTCCCACGCCCCAATGCCTGAGTTTTCAAACACCGGATTTTTCTAATCTCCTACGAGTCCTTCTGAAGGGAATGCCAATGTTTGGGGTTTACTTCCTGGGCTCTTATGTTTTACAGCACAATACGTAACACTTTCTGTGCACTAATGCGGACACAGCTCATGCCCAGACCGAACTGCTGCTGAAGCGCGCACGGCCTGTGCCAAAAGCCACAGCAAAATGAATTCCTTCAAAAGCGTGAGCCCTGCAAGTAAGGTAGTGTCTGAATTTGTTCTGCTCTTGCTTGCTGCCTAGACTGCGTCATTTGCTGTAGCTGGCCATGGGTTCAAAACAGACACCAACAACGTCGAGAGCCCGCACGTTTTGTGAGTTCACTGCCCTAAACCGATATAAGCCCTAAGCGAAGACCCTCAGCCCTAAACCCTACAGTAAACCCTAAGACCTAAGCCGCAGAAGGGGACCAAGTTTATGATTCAGGATTTAGGGTTTATGGTTCAGCAGCAGCGTTGCGCCTGACAGCGTGGCAGCCTCCTGTTCCTGCATTCGATGCCAGAACGCTTTGGGTGTGTCTCAAGCTTATCCCATCATTTGTAGGGAACCTCAAAATGCCCGCGCAATCCTGCATACATATGTATATATACATATTTATACATACATGTACATTTACATATGTCATGTTGTATTTATGCATGTATGCATGCATGCATGGATGGATGGATGTATGTATGTATGTATGTATACACATACACATACA